TTCAGAGGAATCGTGATAAAAACTTCACTTGTCTAGAGACTCAGAGATGTGAATTAACAAAACACAAGTTAAGTCTGATAATAGTTTTATCCTCTATCTACAGCAGTATCTCAACCTTACCGTGTCAAGAAATTAAAATTATTCTTTCACCCTTTTTATTCATATGTCAGTTTCTAAAGAGTTGGTTAATTTTCACTCTTGCTAACTTCTTACTCTATTTGGTGGTTTTTCCCTTGGTTTGCCAAATGCAGTTTTTCTAATTTCTTACCAGTTTTCAAAGAATACTCCATACCCCATTTTTGCTGCCTTCTTAAAAACACTGGTTATTACAGAATAAAGAGACAGAAAAGAAAGAAACCTTACAGAAGTTAATGTAGTTCCATATGAATTGTCTAGAACATTTTTTCTCTTTTCCGAGTCATTTCTGTATTTTTGGAAGTGGGAGTTCATCACCACTCTATACTAAATGCAGATATCCTGAGGACTCTGGCAGCATGGAATGCAAGGGAACCGGGAGGCCACTTATACCTCAGAGGGATTCAAATGAACAAATACTGAGGGTGGCACTTCAAAAGCAGATGGAATTATTAGATGAGTTTATTTTGAGGCAACACATTTTGAAATCTATATTTATAATATGCATTTTTCCACAAACATTTTGAAGGCCCCTCCTACATGTGAGGCATGATAGGAAAAAAGAAAAGAAAAAATGGTCCCTGTATCTCCTTTGGCTACATTCTAACTGGCAAGGGGGCAGAAGGAGTGAAGGGACACAAGTACACAAAGAGCTACCTTGGATTAGACTGTGGATGGGTCTATTACAGTATAAATTATGATAGAATATACAAGGGAGAAATTTCATCTGACTTTCCAAATCTGAAAATGGAATTGAGTTAGGCTTTGCATAACTAAATACCTTACATCATAAAGAAGGAAACAAGGCAACGGAGGACAAATGAATTTGCCTTAGCAAATTAGTCAGTTATTACTGTTAAAACTAGAATATGGACTTCCTTAAATTATAGTATACGCTATCATGAGTATGAATTCAACAGGCAGAGTATGAGAGAGAGAGAGTGAGGCTGTGTAGGATGGCTGTCTGCAAACATTTAAGTAGAATAGTGTGGCTGTGATTAAAAATTCAGGGTTTTATTTGATGGCTTACTCTGAAAATTAGACTGCTTTACCTTTTAAGGGTCACATTCACAAAAAACAATGGTTAGGTTGATTGCTGGCCTTTTAAGTTTTCTGTCTAGGCGGACTTCCTAGCTCAAACTGTACAGTTATTAGGAAATGTTTGAATCAGATTTAAGGCAAAGTTGAAGCCCTAACCTGCCCTCACCCAACAATTCTCATACATGTCTCCAGTTGGGATTGTCACTGGGAACAGTTCTATAAAGCTAACTGGAATAGAAAATTGATAAGGTTTCATATTTCACATTGTCAAACATTCACTCACAGAGTCTCTAATTCATTCATCAAATTTTTCACTTGTATGCCTATTACTCTATATGCATGTCACTACAGATAAAAATGTGAACAGAACAGTGAACAGTGAAGTAGTCCTTCCAGGTGCGGGTCCAGTTAACTAAGTGGGAGACCTAAGAGTGTTAATTGTTACATTAACAACAGGAGTCACTGTGCACTAACTCCCCATGCAGGATCTCTGTCCTCAATGAGTTGTATTTTGAGAGTTAACTGTAAAACTAGTTCTTAAAGTTTTTTCTTTTGTGTGTGTGTGTGTGTGCGCAAATAGTTGAAATCTTTACTTAGTATAGAATTGGTCTTCTGTGTACAAAGTTAATTGAAAATGAATCTTAATGGAAAATGGGACGGGGCACGGGGAGAGAGAGGAAGTGGAGGGGTGGGAGGGCAGGTATGGTGGGAAGAATAACTATATTCCTAAAGTTGTACTTATGAAATTTGTATTCCTTAAAAAATAAATAATAATAATAAAAGAAATTAGAAAACCCTGAAAAGAACCCAGGAGAACAACTGATCACGACTGAAGCACACTGAAAGACTCCTAACAGAGTTCAGGTATAGGAAGACTTTCTGGAGGAAACGATTTCTCAGCTGAGAACCTGGAGGGTTAGAGCGGAAGTATAAGATAATCATGATTTTGATGTGAGTTGAGGAGAGTATGGGAAGCTGGGAAGCAGCTTCTAGGTAATGGGAGCAACAAGTTCAAAAGCCTGGTGAGGAAGAAGAAGTGTAAGAAATAAACTAAAACAAATGGCCCTAATTCTCCATTTCATTTTTTTCCCCTTTATCACTAGAGATAACTACTGGGAAATAAGCCGGGATAGACAAACAAGTGCTTTGTTAAAGAAATGTTAAAAGGATGGATTTTTACCATAAAAACAGGGAGCTGTTGAAGTTTTAGGCTTGGTAGATTTGTATGTTAGGATTACACGGGGTGGGGGTGGATGTTTGGTGCAGTCACTTGGGATGCCCACATCCTGTACTAGTTTTGTGGGTTCAAGTCCTAGCTCCACTTCAGCTTTCTGGGAGGCAACAGGTGATGGCTCAATAATTTGAGTCCCTGCCACCCTTGTGGGAGACCCAGATTGAGTTTCTGGCTCCTGGGGTTTGGCCTGACTCAGCCTCACCCTGGCTGTTGTGGGCATTTATAGAGTGAACCAGAGGATGGAGGGCCTCTGTATCTGTCTCTCTGCCCTTCAACTAGATTAAAAAACAAAACAAGATAAAACTCCAGATGCATTGCAGAGACTGGAAATCAGTGAAGGGAAGTTGTTGTGGTAATTCCAGGTAAGCCCTGATGGTGGTTTGAATTTAAGTACTATCTATGGAAACAGAATTAAGTGGTCTGGCCTGGAGATTTTGAAGGGCTTAATGACTAACTGAATTCAGAGAGTGGGAGGAAAAAGAACCTAAATGATAAATTTCTGGCTTGCTCAATCGGGAAGCTGGCAAAGCCAACCATTTAGATTCTGACTATAGACAGAGATAATTCAAAGGATGAATCAGGAGGCTGTTGTTTCTAAGGAGAGAGATGTTGGTGGCCTGAATGAGGGATCTGAGAGATATTAAGCAAGCAAAATAAATCAGATTTGGTAACTGCCTGGACAAGAAATATGTAAAGAAAGGAAGGAATCAGATGACACCTGATGACACCTAAGTTCTGGCTTGGATTCTGTGCATAGTCACTCGGGTACACTGGTTAATGGCCATAAATTCTTCCTCTTTTGATATACACAATTCTTTGCAAAGTAACTTTCCCTACCCTTGAAATATGGGTGGGTCTGTTTTGAAAGACAAATATTTGCTTTGACAAATATTTGGCAGAAGAGATAGAAGAGGGTACTTTAAAAAGTTCATGGAAAATGCATATTATGAAAAAGCCATGCATGAGTTTCAAAATTCTCTGCATCAAAATAAACATCTTTTAATTTCATTTTCCCATTAACTTTTTGAAGCGTCTTTTGAAAAGCAGAAGAGAAGAGAAGAGAAAGAGACTGACCTTCCATTTGCTGGTTTACTCCCCAAATGGCTGCAACAACCAGGTCTGGGCCAGACTGAAGCCAGGAGCCAGGCACTCCATCCCAGTCTCCCATCTGGGTGGCACGGGCCCAAGTACATGGGCCGTGTTCTGCTACCCTCCCAGGTGCATTGGGCAGGAAGCTGAATCAGAAGCAGAGCAGCTAGGACTCTAAGGGGTGTGTCAGCATCGCAAGTGGCAGCTTAACCGGCAGTGCCACAGTGCTGACCATCAGCTTTTGCTTTTCGGAGCACTGCCACGAAGAGAAGCTGTTCTAGCCTACTGGAGGATGAGAGGTCACATGGATGAGATCCAAGTCTCCCCAGCTGACAGCTCGAACTATGAATGGGGTATCTTTGGACTTTCCAGGGCACAGTGCATAAGGGAGCCCAGATGAAATCAACAGAGGACTTGACAGAATGACCACTGACTTAAGTCACTAAGTTTTGGGAGGTTACATAGCCACAAACAAGTGAAAGTTATGAGATAGGAAAATTAGGAGAGGGCAACCTGAAATGTTACTCCTTTTGTCTCCCATGGTGGTGGTGATGAACTCAAATGACCTAACAGGAGTTCAGGCAGGGGTGTTCCAGTAATTTCTAAAGCATCAAAAAGTCTAAAAAATGGAGTACTGGACTGGAATGTTAATTACAGAAGTTGGGGCTGGGTAACAAAAGTAAAAAGGCAGGATAGTTTCACATTCCTTGATGAAAGAAAAGCAGAGATGTTTATAGAGGCCTATGTACAGTCCTTAACTCCACCCACATCTGGGATACATCAGTTAAACCAGATCTCCCAGGAGAAAACTTTTCAGCAGGCTTAATGGAGAACACTTGACGAATTAAGACGAGCTAACAAACGTAAAAGCTCCCGCCAGTAAAATTTTATCCTTCATATAGCAACATACATTGCAAACTATGAGGAGTTAACCAAGATTTACTTGTTTCGTGCATGAAAATAAATCAAAATCAGGACTTCTCCTTTCCAAGATTAAGAACTCATCTATTTTGGTAATAGGAAAAAACGAAATAAAACTGCCAGATTTTAAACGGGATTACTGCTCGAGAGAGTTAAAAAAAAAAAAAAAAACAGAAATCGTTAGCCAGGAGCGAACACTTGAGGGCTTTCCTCTCAGGGGAGCTCCATCATAAGGATACTCCCTAGCGTTTTTGTTGCTTGAAAAGTCTTCACTTCTTCCTAAGCCTTACTGCTTCCCCTCCCCGCAGTGTGATTCAGATTGTTTCAGCTAGAGTTAAGAGAAGCCCCCAAGACGGTCTGAAATCAGAAGACGCCGCTAGCAAAATCAAAGCGAGGAAGGACAAGCAAGCATCAACCAAGGAATTAAGCCACGTCGCATTCCGGCAGCAGCAGTCACTGAGGAAACCCCATCTTCCGTCCTTTTCCAGCGTGGATCCCAAACAGGCTCGAATGTTCCTCCTCCTTCTCTGCAATCCTTCCTACCCGCCCCGGAGCAGCCACGGAGGAGATCCACACTCACCGCTTGAAGCACGGTGGCCAACAGCAACCGTAGCCCAAACGCCGGGCCCAGCCCTCCACCAGCCCCAGTCGCCATCGTTACCCTCTCGGCTCTGTCTCGGGCTGCCCAGAGGACCCCTCAGCTGGGGCGTCCACACTACAGCCTGATCCGTGACAGCCCGCTAAAGGCCGTTGCCACCGAAACTCTTGTTCTGAAGGGACGCGTGTTAACTCGGGGTATATGAAAACTTAAAGGTGATCAAATATCAAGACAGTCGCCGGGTGCTTTGGATTACCCAAATCAGGCACTTTTCTAAACTCCCCACTTCTGTGCTTCCCCGGGATCCTTTCATTCACGACATTTCGTCAGGCAGCCAGGAGGCCCCGCCTTCTCCAGTTTAAGCCCTGCCTCCGTCCCCAAGTTTACCCAATCGAATGCGGCCTTGATTGAGCCCTGTGGCGGAGGAAGCCAACCGTAAATCGAACCGAGGGCCAAGAGCAGGGACTCTTCGGACCAATAAGCACAACCGCGCAGGAGGACGGGGTGGGGCCTCTGGTTGCCGAGCAGCGTACGTGGATGCGTGCGCGTGGTGGCGGAGGGGGATGGGCGGGGACTTGGCGGGGGCGGGGCCGAGGGCGGCGCAGCCGCAGCCGCAGCGCTGGTGTAGGAGCGCGCGGCCGCGAGCGAAGGAGGGAGGGAGGGAAGGAAGGAAGAGAGGGAGGCGGGCAGGCAGGCGGGCGCGGAGGTCGGGGATTGAGGCTGTGGAGGGAGGCGAGAGCCCGGCAGCCGCTTCGCGCAGGGTTTGCTGCGCGGGCTTTTGGAGGGGGCGGCCGTTGAGTCGGCTGACGAGAAGCGGGCACCGGCGGCGCTAGTGCTGGCGCCTGGGGGCGGGGGGACCGGAGAGGCGAGAAGGGGGGTCGCTGCGGTGGTGCTCTGGCTGTCGCGCTCTCCTTGCCTGGCTGCCGGCTCGGTGGGCTCCTCCCGGCGTTTCCCTCGCCTCTGGGGCCCCGCTCCCCGCCCTCCGCGGTATGTCTTGATCCCGAGCAGCGGGTTTCATGGGGCTCCTCAGGATTATGATGCCGCCCAAGTTGCAGCTGCTGGCGGTGGTGGCCTTCGCGGTGGCGATGCTCTTCTTGGAGAACCAGATCCAGAAGCTGGAGGAGTCCCTGTCGAAGCTAGGTGAGGAGCAGAGCCGCTCCGCGCTGAGTGCTGTGGACGGGGCTGGGCCGGGGGGCACTGCAGCCCGAGCAAGTGGGCGTTCGTGCAGCCCGGGGTCTGGTTCGCGGGCTGGGAGAGGTTTCCAAGAGAACACAAGCTCCTAGAATGGGGTGACTTGAGCTTGAGTGGCGTGCTGGACTCGCGAGGTCACGGGGCAGAGGTTGCAGGGCTGGGCTTCGCGGAGCCCCAGGGCTGCCCCCGAGTAGGCATTCCGGAGAGAGGGCGAGAGAAGCCCCAACTCAGAGGGAAGAGGTGGCCACGCTCAGCCTTGCTCGGGCAGAGCGCCTCGGCAGTGTCGGAGAGGGGTATTCCAGTTTCGTGTATGGGAACTCGGGCACAGCTTCTTTTGGAGGATGGGGGAGGACCGGTGGTCGTGCAGGAATATTGGTGCGCAGCAATGGAAGGAGGCGCCGGTAATGATGGGGAGGGGGCAGTCAGGGAAACAAGCTGCCGTGAGTTGCACTCCGGTCCCGGGGGAGCGAGGGACCGCCCCACAGGCGGTCGAGGTAGGCTGGCCAGGTAGGGCAGGCTAGCGAGGGAAGAGCTTCAGGGCAGTTCTGAACGAGGGTCCGGGGACTGCGATCCGTTTTAGTGGCGCTGAACTGGTTCATGTGGGCTCCAGAACAGGGATGTGCACGTATGTTGCTTCGCGGCAGCGTTGATGTAGTGAATTTAGAAGAGGGAATGCCGAAGGGGAACTGTGTAGTGAGGTTTACTATTGGAAAGTAAGGTTACACGGTAAACATTTAAGTACCTTGAAGAGTTAACAGTGCTTTAATGGGCGAAGGAGTCTGAAGTGCAAAAAGTTGACGTGTGAAGTTGTGAAAGGACAGAAAAAAGCATAGATAATAGATTCTTTCGATTTAGTATGGAACTGGCATTTGGAAGGGCTCGGTGTGGAGAGCGAATAGTCAGAGAATGACAGTGACCAATTTTGAGTTAAAAATGCACATGGCACTTAAATCAGCTCAAGAGGCTGTCATTTGAATCTGGAAAGACAGTGCAAGGTAAGGGATTGCATGCACTTGCACCTCGGCACCCTTCTAGATACGTTTTGAGAAACAAGCAAACAAATCCCTTCAGCGATATTATTTAGACTAAAGAGTAACTTTGGGAAACAACTAAGTGCTGCTGTGCTGTTTAATTTTTAGGGAATAATTGCAGTTTTGTACGCAGTAGCTATAGCTAGCTGTTTCCAGAGACTTTGCAATTGTCTTGAAATTTTGAAGAGCAGTGTATCAAAGAGTATCTAATAAATATGATTGAAGTGCAACTATGTTTGAGGGAAGATCAAAAGAGATACTAATCCTTACTAATGCTGGGGCAAAAATTTGAAAAGATATACAGTTTATTTACTCTAATTTTGTTACTGTGCCTTGTAAGATGGGAAAATGTTCACTTAAATAGTAAAGGTTGTCCAGTATACTTTTTCTTTTCATTTGAATCCATTCATCAGCATTCAGAATCATGTTCTGGTCACATTAATGATCCAGCTTTACAGAAAAAAATGATTCCTCATAGAGGAAGTTGGAAGTTGTATTAAAATTTGTACCTGTTGTTTATTGTATTGCTATTTGGAATTCTCTGGGGTTAATTTCTCCAGAACATCATGGTGGGGTTAGCATTGTTTACATTTTTTATTTTAATCATCTAAGTTTTTTTCTGTAACACTTGAAGGGGTTTCCATAGATACAACCTGAGCTTTTTTTTTTTTTTTTACAGTTATTTTAAGCTGTAGAATGCCACAGGTAGAACATACTATGCTTTCTTGTAAATTTTTTGCAAACAAGGAAATTCCATCAGAAATAGAGTGCATTAGAATAAATAATTCCATTAGAAATAATAAATATATGTTAAAATGAATCTCAAAACTAATTCAAGGAAATTAATACCTCAAGTATGAAACTGGAAGTATTTTCATCTGGAAATGCAAAAGCATGGCAAGTAAAAATGTATAACTTTGTTTCTATTAGCAGTCATTTGATTTTCTTTTTAAAGTCTTGGAAAAGGCAAGGAATGATAAGAGAGAGATTGCCAGTTGGTAGTCTGACCTCTTAGGAAAGAAACGCAGGTGGCTTATTTTGACAATCAGACTCTATCCTAGGTGTTTTTCATCTATGATGCACCTATTTATCTTTCTAGAACACTATAGAAAGCTATTTTTGCAGTTGCAGGAACAGGCTCAGTGGTTATAGAACTTGTCTAAGACCACATCACTATTGGCAGAGCCAGCATTGGAATCCAGGTATGTTTGATTCCAAGTCAAGTGCTCCTTTAATTACACCCAGCTGCTTGAGACTTCATATTGACATTACACTAAGATTTAGCTATTTGAATAGAATTTTTAAATTGTAATATCAATGTTTAATTGCCTTTATTGCTAAGAATGAATATCATTCTAAGGAAATTCAATTTCAGACAAAAAGAAATTGGTTTAGTGTAATGTCTGCCCCCTGTTTATATTTTAATGAATATAATTATATTACCCGATAAAACCACTGAAATAGATAGCTTATTTCCACTAGAGGAAAAGAAAAATCTCTGGTTGATTTCTATGAGTGTAAAATTGCAACATTGAAAATCATTTGTATTTTGACATCAAAAGAACTTTTTTTTTTTTAAAGATTTATTTTATTTATTTGAAAGGCAGAGGCAGAGGAGAGAGAGTCTTCTATCTGCTGGCTCGCTCCCCAAATGGCTACAACGGCTGGAGCTGGGCCCCTCTGAAGCCAGGAGCCTGGAGCTTCTTCCAGGTTTCCCAGGAAGGTGCGGGGGCCCAAGGACTCTGGCCATCCTCTGCTGCTTTCCCAGGCCATAGCAGAGAGCTGGATCGGAAGTGGAACAGCCAGGACTCACACTGGCACCCATATGGGATGCTGGCACTGTAGGCGGTGGCTTTACCCACTACGCCGGCCCGCCCCAAAAGAACTGTTAAACATTTGCTCTTAAAGTAGTTTTTATTCTGCAGTAGAAGATGCCAAAAGTTTATATTGCCTTTATTATGAGAGTTTATAATTTTTATACAGTTATAAAGTTTATAAAGCACCTTGATTTGAGAGCATTTTGATCATGAAACCTATTGTGGAGCATTAGATGTCTTCAAAATTAAGCTGTATTCATTGACCATATGGGAAATTAGGTCTATATAAATTGAGTCTATAAATAATTCTTGAAAGACCTAATATCACATAATATAATTTTATATTTTAAACAGATAAGGGAGAATGGAATGTATATTACATTACACCTTGGTTTTTTTAATTTTTTCATCTAAAATATCAGAGCCATCCTTCTGGATTAGTGTGTGTGAATTTGACTTAGTCTGATACATGTGTAATGTTCTGAAATATGCATATATCATAAACCATTATGCCAGTACTGGACAGTTTGTCTCCTCCTCCCTCCTTTTTGTGGTGTTACAGGAAACATCCCTATATGTCTGCTTTATTTCCTGTGTGTTGATGTTATTTTTTTACTGGGATAAATTATGTGGAATTTCTGGGACAAGGGATATATGTATTTTATATCTTAGTAAATTTTGAAATCTCTTAGTTTCCAAAATTCTTTACCAAAGGCTACAGTAGTCTATGTTGCCAGTGCATACACCAAAGGAGTGGAAACTATCCACTTTAATTTTGCCAGTCTGAAAAGGCTGTGAAACAGTATGTTAAATTAATTTAAAATTCCCCAATTTCTAGTTGTTTATTTCTCTTTTACTTTCTAGCTCATTTTAATTTGTCTGTTTTTTGTTAAGCAGTTTATAATTGTAGTTGTTTTTAGTGTTAGAATTAGTAATACTTTTTTTCATATATCTTATTTTCTGTTATTTGTCTCTTTATGGTATGTCTGCTCATATAGCAATTTTAAAATTTACAAAATCAAATCTATCAGGTTAAGCAGGTATTTTTCTTAAGACTTTCCTAAAGCAAGATGATGTACATTTTTTGTATGATATTATAGTAATATTACAGTTTAATTTGTACAGCTAGCTTTTTGTTAGTTTGTTTTTTGTTTTTTTCATTCCCCAAATGCCTTCAATGGCCAGGATTGAGCTAGGCCAAAACTAGAATCCAGGAACACAATCCAGGTCTCCCGCATGGGCGGCAGGAACCCAATCACTTGAGCCATCACTGCTGCCTCCCAGGTCTGCATTGCAGGAAGCTGAGGTTAGCTGATTGGAACTCAGGCGCTCTGATGTGAAATGCAGGCCTCTTAACTGCTATGCTAAATGCCTGCCCCTATATTTAGCTTTTTAAACTACTCCCATGTTTATGGAGATTTATTTACTATTAACTTCTATCAGTGAGTAGCCACTATAGCCACTATAATACTGTATTGTAAATAATATATTTTCCCCCACTGTGTGTTAACAATTCTTTTTTTAATCATATGCTTTTATTATGTTCTTTGAACAATTTGGACTCCTCTTTTCCACTAATCTGAGATTCTGTAAATCTCAGGGATGTATGCACACACACACACACACACACACTCTCTTCAAATCATACGTGAATTTCCTGAAATTATGTGCATAGCTCTCATCAGATTTGCAGAGGAGTATATGATCTCCTCATTGGTAAGAATCACAGATTTCTAGTACAGGTTGAGAATCCTTAATCTGAAATCTGAAATCCAGAATGCTTCAAATCAAGTGTTTTTGAGCACTGCCATGATGCCACAAGTAGAAGATTCTACTCTGACTTCGTGTGGTTGGTCTCAGTTAAAGTGCAGGCTCACTAAAAATAATGTATGGAATTATCAAAGTGCATGTGTATAGACATTTATGAAATGTAAATAAATTTCTTGTTTAGACATGGGTCCCATGCCTTTGTTTCATTATGTATGTGCAGATACTTCAAAATCTGAAATATTCAAAACCCAAAACATTTCTGGTCCCAAGCTTTTACAATAGTAGATAAACAACCTATGTGTGTTTCATATTTAATGGAGTGTGTTTTCTG